CAGATGAGATGTTCCCAGCTATTGTCATCAACAGGGGAGGAAAAATCCTCGTGTGTGTGTGTTGCCAGGCACTTGTTGTCTTTCTCTGGTGATGAATTTCAAACTCTTGGTCCCCTCTTTGGAGTTTAAAACATCTCATCCTCCTCTCTGGAGCTGGAGTTTTGTTCTGCCAGCCCCGTGGTTCCCCATTAGCCCGGCCTTTGCTGCGGCAGGACTGGGTGATCATGCTCACACATCGCTGCCTGTCCCCTCAGCCTGCACAGGCAGCCGTGCTGCTGCCATACAGACCTGCCTCTGCTTTTCCCCTCCGCAGCACCGCGGCACTTTGCCATCGCCCGGGCTTCATGTGAGAGATGGCGAATGCCGAAGTGAGCGTCCCTGTGGGTGATGTGGTGGTTGTACCAAGTGACGCCAACGAAGGGGAGAACCCGGAGGATACCAAAACCCAAGTCATCTTGCAGCTCCAGCCGGTGCAGCAAGGGTGAGTTGGATGGTAACTGGTATGTCTGGGAGGTGTGGGGTGGGATTATGGGGGGGTCCCTGTAGATTTTTGTGGTGTGGGGACCGAGCGTTCCAGGTCTGCGTCGGTTTTGTACCACGCACGGGAAAGAGAAAAATACAACACCAGGAAAAAAATAATACAAAGCTTTTGTGCTTGTCGCTGTGACGGGGTCTCCGAGGATTGAAATTGTCCTGTGGGGACGTGTCTCCATGGTGCTGTCTCTGTGGGTCACAGCAGCCCAGCGGTGATGTGGTCGTGGTGCTGCCCTGGCCACGCGTCCTCCCGTTCTCTCTCTTCCCTCACCAGCCCCAGGGTGGGTTTTAGCCACGCTGCAGCTGCTGTACGTGGTGGTCTCTGCCCGTGTGTCCAGATCCACATATGTCTCTGTGCCAGCTGTCCCCTAAAACCATCCTTCTCTAAAACACCACAGAGCTTGGATGTTGGAGGGAATTTTGTGACACCCCAGGCAGCTGCTGCGGAGAAGTGGCTGCCACCAGGCACCTCACCTTAACTCTGGATCAATCAGGACATAAATATACTGGTTCCAGTTTGATCATATTCACAGAGCAGGGTGGCTGTAGGCCTGACAGTGACTCTTCCCTGCGTCATCACCAGTGCTGCAGTGTCACACAAGGCTGGAAGGGAAATCCTGGGGCATTGAGCTCTCTTTCCTGTTGTCGTGGGTAACTGTGTCAGAAACCAGAGGAGAAGGCAGAGGGAAGCGCGCTGCAGAGCTGCTTTGGTGGCGTTGGCATCGTGGAGGGTGCGATGACAGGACTGGGAACGCCTCTGTGTGTTTCAGTCCTTGCGTTTATTATTATTATTATTATTATTGTATTTTATATGTGCCAAAAAAATGCCTGTGATTGAAACGGTATCAAATGAAATCCACGTCCCTTGAGGACAGACAAGGAAGAAACAAACTGAATTTTTAACCCTGTGCTGTGAATCTTGATTTCCCATGATTTACACAGTTTGTTTATGGATGGACGCTTTCACAACAGGATTTACCAAGAGGGCTCCGAGGCCAGTGCCGCCGTAGTGGCCGTGGAAACCCACACCATCCATAAGCTCGAAGAAGGGATCGGTGAGTTCCCGCTTGGCGTGGGCAGAATCCCCTCCTCTGCAGGGCTGAGCTGGTGTCTCCGGTTCGCTGGGCTTCCTTCTGGCTCTGCCCCTGCAGATGCTGTTTCCCAGGCATGGATGTGGGTGCAGGGTCTGGGCATACTCTGGAATAAGAGTCTGCTGTTACTGCTTGGTCTCAAAGTCCTGGAACTGAGCTCCTGGCTCTCCTGCAATGAATGGTAAGGGCTCCCACCGGGTCCAGGGGAGCCAAGATTTCACCCTAGTCTAGCTGTGCAGACACAAGCAACCAGGAAGGATGGTTATGAGGTTGTGTCTGCACTGGCTGAAGCCAGCAGACTCCACTTACTGGTTCTTTGTTGAACAAACAGCCTGACAGTTTGGGTTGGATGTTCAGAAGAATTGAGCCAGGTTGGCTCTGAGTGCTTCCTGCCATCCTGAGGAGTATGTGGAAAAAGTCTCCTGTCGTTAGGTGCTGTCACTAGATCTTGAGTAGCATTCTGCTTCCTGTGTGGGTGTGGGTCTTCTGGCAGTATTAGCAGAAACTCTGCATGTGAAGAGAATATATTATCAGTAAATATCTGATATCACTGCTAAAGAGATACCAGAGCTCTAAGAAATCTGAGAGATATTGGTGCTTTGAATTTTAAAGCATTTTATTTCCACAAAGGTTGTTCTCAATGATCCCCCTCCCCCTTACAGATGTGTTGTGTTTCTGATCTCACGTTCTCCTGAGAGATGAGCTTCATTTTGAGTGTTTTGATATTAAAAAGCAGATGCCAATTGCTCTTAGTAATAACTGGAGAAGACTAAGAGAGGACTGATCTTGAATGGGGATCAGCCCTTCTTTTGGTTCCCTGAGTGGAGGTCTCACAACTTGTGAGCTTTCAGCTCCTACCTTCTGGGATTTGAGCCTCTTGAGTGGAAAGTTTCATTTTTTTTTAACCCCTTCCTCCCTCAGACCCCAGCACCATTGAAACAAACGAGGAAATCGAGATTGCCTATCCCATCACCTGCGGGGAGAGCAAAGCCATCCTGCTCTGGAAGAAGTTTGTCTGTCCAGGAATCAATGTCAAGTGTGTAAAGGTAAGGGGGTTTTCACAGAGGATTCCTTCTCTGCTCTCAAGGTTTGATGCTTGACCTCAACAGGACTTTCTTACTTTTTTTGTTTCACCTGAGCCTTGTCCTGGAGCCAAGTGATTTTGCCTTCGCAGCGTGCTGGATTGTTAGTGCTGAAGTTGTTTCTAGCCTGGGGAGAAGCAGGAGGGGTGCAGGTTAAGGAGTGAAGACCTATCACCCACCTTATGTTTCAGTGCTGCTCTTGATTACAGTTTAAAGCAGAGTTGGCACTTGATGAGGGACTTGGAGCTGAAGGCAAGCAGGGGATGTGTACTGAGATCTGCCAGAGCTTTTCTTCCTTGTCTCTTTC